TTCTCACTCAGTTGCTTGTAGTGAGTAGATCGAGCTCGGCTATCCTCATCATAAATTCTGCTCTTGTCCACTAGTTCCGCAAACCGACGAATCTGCTGGTACCCAATTCCTTGCTTAATCTTTGGTATCAATCCATTCTCAAACTTGAGACACTTTGACATCTTTGTGTCAGCACGATTGTAATGCGGACAAAACTTTACCAAAGACTCAGACTTTTCCGCATACTTAGCCACAGTCATATTCCCTTGTTTCAGCTCAAGAAATTCCACCTCTTTCCTGCCCCAAACATCTTCAGAAAAATACTTCCTAAAAAATTCTTCCTTAAACACAACCTAAGTTATTGCAATACCAGCACCTTCCAACCTCTGACGAGTGTTATCCCACCAGTACTCAGCTTCCTCTGCTAGCATATGCGTACCAAACGATACCTGTCGAGCATCAGTGTATGCCATAACTCGAAAAATCTTCTCAATCACTCTCAGCCACTTCTGCGCACCATCAGGATCATGAGTGCCCACAAAAATCGGCGGATTGTTCCTCTGGAAATTTCCCAAAGCACGAAACTCATCTGGAGGTCCACCATTCTGGGCCATCACTTGGGCAAGTGATTCCAGTACATCAGCAATAGCACGATCATTCCTTCCAGCCATCTGCAACCACCAACAGGGTTAGAAGAAAACAACTCATCCAATAGTGTTCTCACACTATTGTCTGACAGGGAATAACAACATAAAAACTTTGTCAGACGGGCCGACCTGCTCTGATACCACTAATGTAACACCCTTTTCTACCCCACAATTAAATGGCGAAATAAAGACATATATCAGAGTAAAATAATAATTCAACCAAAATCACGTCAAAAGGGCGTACATTTCCCAATAAATCAAAAATAGGTCAAGGCTCCGTAAACAACGGGTTTTCCCAAAAGATATCAAAAATTTCACAAAGCAACGGAACTCGAAAGGCATAATCCAAAGTTTTCCTTATACGGAAAGATAATCAAAATAACACAATAAAACATGGTTTAACTCAAGACCCAAACCCGATGTTACACTATCAGAGCAAGACCCTCTAATTTAACCAAAAGGCTAACAACTCAAAACTTCAAAAGTCCTCAACGGCATCCACGGCTAAACCTGGTCATTTGCACGTTACCCACGTGGAGACAACATTCAAACAGGTAGGGTGAGTAAAACGATTCATAATAATCAATGTAGAAAATCAACATATAAAATAGCGTCATTTTCATATTCAACATCATCATATTCATCAATGGAAATCAAATGCCACAACATCATAATTTACTCAAAATCATCTCATAAATGCAAATGCAACAAGACTCAATGCATGTGGTACCAATCATCACAACTTGATGAACATTGGGCCATCAATCCTCCATAGATCCCCATCAATAGGATCGATTCTACTCGAGAAACGAAGCATATCAAAATACCTCACATCCATATAATGGGATTGAAGCCAAAGTAATCAAGGTCCTGAACCGAAGTCCGGATGCCCATGAATGCATGATGCACACGTCAATAATAATCCTCATAATAACATCATAGGTGCATCATCATTCATCATCACAATCATCATCATATATCATGTCATCATAGGATTCATCAAAACTCATGGTAATATCATCATATTACATCATAGAAATCATCAGGTAATCATGTACAAATCACATAGAATTCACAATCATACTCATATTACTTCATCAGAGAAATCACAACATTAAACATCAAGGCATCACTGCACAAAATCAGCATTCACGAAACTCTGCTACGTCCGCTAGCAAGTTCTCTAGGCGAGTCTGGGGCGAGTTTCTTTGCTGTGCGAAGGATTCTTCGCAGTGCGAGTCTGGGACGAAATCATTCGCTGTGCGAACAACGCGATGACAACAAACATTGTTATACACCAGAACCTAAACCAACCCAAAAGTCCACACGATTCACTTTTCCAATGCCCCCAAAACATCCCTAAGGTCTTACGACGATAAAGGCTACAGTTTGTTACGCCAATCCCGTATCATATTCACGCCCTAATTCCCAAATTTCCTTACGATTACCCATACTCATCAGAGTTCCTCATTATCCAATATCCCTACAGGGCTAGACAAATGTCAAATCAGAGTTTTGGCCACGAAGGCCTAATTTCCTATAACCCGAACAAATCCCTACGGTTAAAATCTCAATATTAGCTTTAGGCCACGAAGGCCAAAATCCCTTAAACCCATTGAACTCACCATCAGAGAGGCAACACCAATTCAATACTAAAAAGAATCTCTAAACCCTTAAACCCTTAAATCGGTCTTAAATACATTGAAATTATACGTTGAAAACGATGAAGGCAATACTCCCCATACCTTAATTGTCGACTCAAAGCCTTCTCAAATCTTTCATAAAACCTTTCGAAACTTTTGCCTCAATTCTTCCTCCTCAAAGCTCTGTCCTCAATTCTTTTCACGGTCTAACAAATGAATCCTAATCCCATCACAATTTCCTTTTTGTTAAACCTAGCCTTGGGCCTCAAAATTGGGCTTTTCCCATATTACCTCACTAACTCCTCCTCAATTGTCCAATTTGCCCTTATTTAACTTATATTTATTTAAATTAATAATAATACTAATATATTTATATTATATACTATTATTTAAATAAATAATCCAAAATGCATAATTCTCAATAATCCACAGCACCCACCGAAAATTACCAAAATGCGAATATTCTCATTTAAATAAATTAAATAAATATTTCAATGAAATTTATGGTGTTACACAAAGCACCTTGACGAATCATCCAATGTTTTGAATTTCAAAGCTTATACAATCTTGATACTTTGATTCCAATATTTTTTTATATCTTTTCTAAGATAAACTTTTGTCTTTATCATAATCAAGCTATGATTGATGATAAACATATTATTCACACTCTACTCCAAACTAGCTGATGATAATATGTGGGAGACTCAACAATTGACTAGAAACAATTGTCTATTTATGAGTTTTTGCACCATTATTGATATTAGCGTCATAATACCTATGATACACTGTTGTTTTACTAATATTTCATCTAATCCATTTTCAAGCATGGTTCCACCCGTATTTTATACGTCTCTCCAACTGAGGCATATGTGGATGACTAATTTAAGACCTTGCCACATGCATGCTCGATCATCGCACTCAGAGGGAAGTAGGAGACCGAGCCGTTTCGAGTTGCTCTTGACTGCATCATGACGAATGATATGAATTGGATGTTGTACGATGATCACCGTGAGACACTGTCCTCGAAGGTGATGGCATTGTGCTCTAAATGGATAACTTATGGCTATCTACTTATGAACCCCTCATCTACTTGAGCGAGTCCCGCGTCAGTTTAGATAATCTAAGGTACAGCAAAATATCTTACCATTGCTGCTCCTTCATAGGGGTGTTCGTTGGTTCGGAAAAATCTGAACCAAACCGAAATCCAAACCAAACCATGGTATTTGGATCGAATATTTTTTTAGTTCAGACAAAACCCAAACCAAACCAATTAAACCCAATGTTAATTGGTTCGGTAACAGATTTCAAAAATTCTACCCGCGAATCCGTCTACCGGAACCAATAATATTAATTCATATAATTTATATAATTATCATAAAAATTAGTATAACATATTCAACTTTAAGAAAGAAAAAAAATTAAACTTCATATGTGACATTTACAACCTATATAAAAAAAATGAAAAAAATTAAAATCTTTATATTATTGTAGAAAATTAGTTTATGTAAACTATAAACTTTTTAAAAAACTTTGCACATTTGTTTCTAACGTATCCGACCAATCCAACCCAAACCAATCGATTATTTTTATGTTTGGTTTGGTTTGGGTTTTATAAAAAAAAGTGAAAATCTAATCCAAATCAATCCATATATTTTTGATCGGTGTGGACATCAGATTCTCTCAAAACCGAACCAAATCGGCCTGCGAACACCCTTACTCCTGCCACTGTCCTTTGAAGGGATATTGATGAGATCATTGCATCGTCTTTCGATCATTTTATGTTAAAGAATGTACGCCATGTGATAGCTCATTGTCTGTGGAATATGGTATATGATTACACCTATTGGTTTTATAGAGTGTCACATTCTTTTATGACACTAGATGTAGATGGAGATCCTTTGAGGTCAGCTCATCAAAATATCTTAGAGAAGGTGCATACAAGGGGAGACCACGTCGTTGATGTATTACCCGCATGTTAGTGCATTATGGTTATTGGGAGAGAGACCATAGCTAGAGGCGATTTTGTAGAAGACGCTCCTCAAATAGCCACTCTATAGGTTATCTTAGTAGAGACACGATATGCATTGCACTACTAGTGGTATAATGAGAACATGGGTGTCATATATACTCACTAATGTGATTTTATTTATTACATTTTGATATTTTGTATTATGGTTTTAACTTGGATTGATTATGACATGATGACTTTTTGTATTTAACATATGACATTTATATATACACATTAGTTCTTTATTTTGATCTTATTATTGAATGACAAATGTGCATGATTAATTTATAAATAACTTATAATTCAAGTTTATAAAAAAAATTTGTGTTTGATATATCTTACTTTCAAAGGGTAAAATCACTGTCAAAAGATAAATCCAAAGATTATAATCTAAACCCATGATACAAAGAATGGAATCCACATGCCTCAATCATGAACTGACTTTGTTAAAAAATAGGCGTGTCTTAAAATTGAAATCCAAAATACGAGAAAGACACTTTGCGATTTTTATAGGAAGTGTGATCACTACATGGGGATGCAATGCAGAACACCCTAATATTATTAGAGGATTTTAGGGGGTGCTTGAAAAGAATTTCTCAAACCTTGTTCAAAACGCAGCCCAAATTTCAGAATTGGCCCAAATAATCAAAGCCCAATTTATAAAACCCAATACACCAAAAAACAAAAACACACATTACCGTTCTCAGTCTTCAACCTCCTCCTATGGGAATTCGAAACTTCTGCAACATTTGCAGGTTTTTCACAATTCCTCATTTCTTCAAAAACACTCTGTTCCAATCACCAACTGGTTCGTACCCAATTCGCACCCTAAAACCCTCTTTTACAACTTCAATTCATAATCCTCACATTTACTTGAAGCTTGATTTTCAATTTCATCTTTCAAGGTACTTTTGTTCTAACCCTAATTCTTCTTATAAACGTAAACCATATACTACTTCGAAGCAAGTTTCTGAAATCATTGCATTGATTTGCGAGGGTGTGAATGATTTGGAATATAGGTTAAACATGATGAATGTGTCATTGTCTTTGTCATCAGTTGTTTACATTTTTGATAGATTAGCAAGTGAAAAAGTTTCAGCGTTGATGTTTTTTCATTGGCTTAATCTTTCACATCGTGAGCTTTGTTGTGCTCCTGAGATAGGGAATTTGGTTATTGAAAACTGTGGGTTGTTAGGAAATTTTGAGGCTATGGTTCCTGTTTTGGTTGAGTTTAACCTAAAAAGGATGTGTTTGGGAAGAAGGGCGTTTAGGTTCTTGGTTGTTTTAAGGTTGGATAGGGATTATTGTATGGAGTGTGTGAGGAGAGTTTTGGATGTGCTTAATAAGGTTGGAGGGGCTTGTAGAAGCTCTGGGGTGAATTTGTTGATAGAGACGTTTAGTTTTTCGGGTGATTTTGATATTGCGGAGTATGTGATAGAAGAAACAGGGAGGAATGTGAGAAGTTATAACTTTTTATTGAGGTTAATGTGTAACAGAGGTTATTACGAAAGAGTAGGTGATTTGGTAGAGAAGATGAAGGGAATCGGTGTGGAACCGGATGGAAGTACTTACAATTTGTTGGTAAGTTGTTCAATCAAGATTGGTAAATTTGTTGAGGTTTGCCAAGTTCTTGAGATGGTGGAAAGAGAAAATGGTTTGCCGGATGGGTTTTCGTTTGATGTTCTTATTAGTTTATTATGTAAACATGGACAGATTGATTTGGCTTTGAAGTTTCTTGATAAGATGGCTTTGAAGGGTATCCAACCTTGTCGTTTAACGAATGCTGTGGTGATAAAGTCGTATTTTGAATCAGGAAAATATGATGAAGCACATGAGTATGTTGTTGATTCTGCTTGTAAGCATAGCTATTCCAGCAATGAAAGCTACACCTTACTTGCTTCTCTTTATTTAAAGAAAGGAAGTGTTCTACTTTCCCAAAGGATTCTTCAAGAGATGATGGATAGAGGTCTTAAACCTAATTATTCAGTGTATATGAAGATTAGAAAGTGTCTTGAGAAGAAAAATAAAAAAGATTTGTCTCTGGAATTATCAAGAAGATACTTGAGGTTTATCGAAAAGTGAACAAGTTTTGGCCGAGTTTTGTGTGACAAGAAGCTGCTCTACATTTGTGTGACAAGAAGATACCAGATTTTGTGTGACAAGTTTTGGTAATGTCATCCGGTATTTGCTGAATAGCTACTCTACATTTGGAAGGGTTCAGCCATTGATACTTGCTTCAATTTTTTCCTGGTATTCAGGTATGTACTATTCCATTTCAGGTTTCAAGTACTAAGAAAAAATGATCTCTTTGATGATTTTCTCGGTGTTTTAATGATGACAGAAGCTTGCCTAATGTTGTTGGGACAAATGAGAACGGGACATAGAAGCTGCTCAATCGGATGAAATATAGTTCGGCTAAAACGGGTAAAGGAAGAGTGGAGAAATATATAGATGAAATCTACAAAAGAGCTTGCTCTGAATGATTTAATTGAAAATGAAATCTGATGTAGTCTCTATAGAAGGAAGAAAGTTGTCTTTGTTGACACAAGTTGAAAATAATGTATGTAAACAGGGGCTATGCATACGTGCCCCTCCTCAATTTTTCCAAATCAACTATTTTTCATGTTATATTATTTCTGAAAATAATAAAAAATGATTAAGCTTGGCCTGCTTAACAAAATGTCTGTTCCCTTTAGGCCCCCTTTGTGCTAGTTCTATTGCTCCACCTTTGTTGTTGATATTAAGTGGTCGATTATCTTGTTTTACATTTGTTCAAGTTTCCTACTTGCTATAACCATTTAAGCATACAAAATGAAAAGAAAATAAGATGTTGATATCCAACATTTTATTTTGTAGCAGAAGTGGACCAATTATAAAAATTTGTGCACCTGTTTCTCTTCATATATTCTGTATTGGCTACTATTCTTCTGTCTTACAAACATTGTTAGCCTCGTCTTGTTTTGTGTTGCTGGAACAAATAGTGTATTTTTGCACAACAGTGTTTTTAGCATACCATTTAATGCTACCGTCACACCATTTAATGCTAATTGTTATGATTAAGGGGATAGCAAGAGGGGCTATAACAAACACTGTATAACCAATTTGATTTAGTAATGAACCTACAATTTGACTTTCACTCGCACACACCTTCATTTTCTGGGTAGCTTCTTCATGAAGAAACACAAACTTATGATGTTTACAGCAACACTACATACAATTATACATGCGCGGCTTTGATGAATTTTATAGGATCTTATAATCTGTTTCACTATCTCACAATTTATAACCTCGACTCCTCTTACTGATCCAAAGTAAAATCTCTATTTTGATTAGCTTTCTTGACTAGTAACACATAAGTGAGCATCTTTTGAATTCAATTGCAGTGCAGTGGCTAATATGTTTGAATCTTTGATTAAAATACATCTTTTTATAGCTTTTGATATTCGAGAAGATCATATCACGTATCTTTATCCATCATAAAAATATCTTTGCCAAAAAAATGTCTTTGTACAACACATGGTACTTAAAGTATGTTTAGTAATACTTGTGTTAAGTGAAACTCAACAAGACCATTGGCCTGTGGAGTAACAGTTTTTAGCAATTTGTGTGATTGACCTTCTCTAAGACTCCAAACTCAGAAGCAAGAGTACTTGTAAAATGGGGAAGTACTCATACCGCATATGGAGGTCTATCGTTATGGATAAGAAAATTTGAGGGTGAAGCTCTATATTATCAAATCAGCCCTGCTGGTCACTGTCCTCATGATGAAGTCCCTGAGGTATGCAGTTCCTCACTAATTAGCTTGAAACTTCTCTGTCTGCTCTTGCCTCTTTTTATTGCAATATGAAGCCATGAATATATAGAGGTTTATCAATTTTTCCATAAGAAAATGTATATGAGCTGGAATAGGAAACCAAGTTTTTTAATATGTAGGAGGGAAGTGTTTGATTTATTATCAATTCATGACATTGCCTGTTCAAGTTTCCCCCCTTGACCTTATATGATTTGTGAAGTTTGAGTTAGGGGTTACCTTGCATGTGGCAAGTTATAGTTAAAGCAATGATACAAATTAATTTGATACAGGTCTTTGATGAACCAGTCTATATGTTGCTTTATATTTTACAGCATGTTATCGTCGTTTAGTGAAAGGTGTTTACATTGCTTAATTGCAATACAACACCTTTTTTGGGTTTTCTAAAATATCCAAGACTATTTTTATGGGATGAAAACATCATGCCTACCTTCTAGTAGAAAGAATCTTCCAGAATTTTGTGAGTATATATCTATATTTTGTATTTTTATTTGTTTGCTCCATGTTTTCATATAGTATCTGTACCTTAATTCGTACATGTGCCCATCTAGTATCAAGTACGATACCTGTATCTATGCAACATAGCTTCATGGTAAGAGCGCTGCTGAGCCACCATCCAAGGTATCACTTCGCCTCTTATTCCCTTCTCGAATATGGTACTACATTGTTGCTAACACAAGAGATTTTTGAATGAAAAATCAAGTTTCATATTTGTCTGGTCTAGTTGACTTCTCTATCTATGAACTCTTGGAAATGTTTGGAGATTGCACACGAGTATAAAAAAGACGGTGAAGTTGGATGCGAGTAAGATGGCGAGTTCAAATGTTGATGATAGTCAAAGTACGGGGACAACGACAAATAAGACAAATGCAAGCAAAACGTAGGAGAGGAAAATGAGCATGTGGACAAGATGCTATCTTTGATGTGGAATGTGCTTGCGAGAGGAAACCCTGTGATATGCTTGATGCTTCCCTCTCACACACCGTCAGAAAGTACCCTGTTGATATTCAGGTACTATGACTTTTTTATATAAGCAAAAAAGTACTTATATTTGTAAATGTCACGTGTTTCATACTTCATGTTCCAACAAACTTTTGACCGGAACTAAATCTACTTGTTACAAATTTATATTGTAGGATTTGCCTAAATAATTTTTGTTTACATTGTAGCAAAATGTTAAATTACAAATTTGTGTTCTTATTCTGTCTTAAATTTGGATCAATTCAAAACTTTTTCACGAAGAATTGGATTTTAAATAATGCATATTTTGTTCAATTTGAAGCTTTTGTTCTCACTTTTGACTTTGGTTGTCCATAATAGCCATGACTTTTTTTTTTTTTTTTTGAAATTTTGGTATCCGGTCTTATGGCTTTACAAAATGACATAATTATGACTTTGGTTGTCCACAAGGTTTTTTATTGAGAAATATAAAAAATATTATAAAAAATTGATAGCGTTTTTTGATCATAACAATTTCACAGTTTTGGGGAAGTATCCTAGGATTTTTTGGTTGTGATTTTGGTTTGTTTATGTTTGGTATGCTTCTGTCCTTTTCATTTTTCTTCACAAATGAAATATTTTGTGTTTGAATTTTTTTCCCTTCCATCTATCCACCTAAAATTCATCTTTATATTCAATGGTAACGTAAAATCAAATTCCTATTAAGTTACCTTTTAGATATTTTTATTTTATAATGTTTATAAGAGTTTTGCTTTGTGGTTCAGGTGTTTTTAATGGGAATTTAATCGGCCAAAGCAAAACTGAGTCGGTGGAACTCGTACATTTAGGTAACTAAATACTTGATAATTTTTAATATTATTTTCAGTCAAATAAATATGCAATGATTTTTGCAAATGTGACATTTTTTTTTGGCTTAATATCTTTTTTAGTCGTCTAACTTTGGTCATTGTTTCGGTTTGGTTCCTTAAAAAAAACGTTACATTATGGTTCACTAACTTATACTCCGTTTTCTTGTTAAAAAAAACGTTAAGATCTGTCTTGCTGGACTTTAAATGGTTGAGGTTGAACTTGTGTATTTATTTAATGGTTGAGGTGGAATTTATATTACACTTAAGTACCATTTGAAGAAGATGAAACGTATTAGGGCATAGTGATATTGTTGGATGAAAGCTCAGCCTGAGAAAGGACGATAGCGACATTGTTGACACTGTTGACAACGACTCTCCATTGAAGACGACGATAACGACACTGTTGACAACAACCCTCCATTGAAGACGAACTTGCACAAATAAGTTATTAAAAATGTTAACTTTCTTCTATACCCAACTTAGTACTTCTGATACTATATGTAGGTTGATTAGGTCATGGAGAGTAAGTTTAAGTGTGTTCATCATTCTGGTGGATTTTCTAGAGAGTTTGTCAATTTTACCAAGTGAGGTTATGTAGGGTTAGAGGAGATATGGGATGTTGATCCTGATTATTGGAGTTATTTTGAAATATTGGACAAGTTAAAAGAGTTAGATTAATGGAGTTACTTTGAAATATTGGAGAAGACACATGAAAATTTGAATGTTGGGTTTAAGAAGATATTGGCATATAGTGCAAAGACACTAGTTGTTGATATTGTGGATGGTTCTTTTACAGAGCAGTATAGAAGAATCCATGATTATGGTAGTGAACTCTTGAGGGCAAACCCAAGATCAACAGTCAAGATTACAAGTTAACCAGTTCAAGGGGAAAACAATGAAAACCCTAGTAAATTGAATCTTCACTTTCAAAGGATGTATGCATGTCTAAAAGCTTGCAAGGACATTTTTTTTAAGTGCAGACCTATTATAGGATTAGATGGTTGTTTCCTAAAGGGATACTATGGTGGACAAATACTAGTTGTTATTCGGAGGGACTCAAATGACCAAATGCTGCCAATTGCATATGTTGTTGTTGAAGGTGAAATTAAAGACTCATGGAGCTGGTTTCTAGAATTATTGATACCTGATTTAGGAGGAGTCCGGTTGTGCAAAACCTAATTATTGACACTTTGGATAACTCTCACCTTGAATTTTAACTGTTAGTCAATTGTGTTAATTTCACCATCAATCTTACTTAATTATAAATGTAGGGTTTGCTGCCAGCTCTTGATGAATTACTTGGTAATGTTTATCAGAGATTTTGTGTTAGGTATTATGTTTACTTAAATGTTGCATATGAGGTAACATGTTATTCTGAATTACTTGCATGACCTACTTGGTTTACATTTACTTTATATTGCAGACATTTATATAACAACTTCAGGAAGTTCCCTGGTATAAAA